AGTAAAGCATATTATTCCTTATTAATGGGACTAAAGTGAAGAAAAAGTTGTGAAAAATGTGGTTCTAAGTGGTTGNTATTTTACATTAACTCGTTAGGTCATCCAAAACAAAACTTTCCAGTAACTGTCTAACTTTGTTATTTTATGTTTGTTGCTGTCATAAATTTCCAAACAAGTTTTTACATAAAGCAAAGAGTATGTAATGTAGACAGTGATATAGTATAAAAGGTTTTATAATTTTATTAACATACGTGTCTTAAAGAAATATCTATTATGAGTTGTGATTAGCTTATAATGGAAGGAAATAATATACATAAAATTAGTAATATTGAAAGATGAATATAATGTTATATTAAAAGTATGTCTATGTTTTTTTAACAATAAATAAGATATATATAAGGGGAAATATTTGGAGTGTTTACGCCTATATTAAAAAACAGATGACTGAAATACGCCTATGTTATTTGAATAAATTAATGAAAAAGAATGTTAAAAGATATGTTGTACATTAATAATTATATACAATAACCTTGTTTTTTTCCGCTATTAAAGTGATCGTGGAGTAAAGCATATTATTCCTTATTAATGGGACTAAAGTGAAGAAAAAGTTGTGAAAAATGTGGTTCTAAGTGGTTGGTTATCTTATATTTACTTTTTGTTTTCCCTTTTGCATCTCTTGTACAATGTTTTTGACGTTGTTTTCTAAACTGCGGAATGCAATGCAACCACTGAATGTGCTTTACACCTTCGGCTTTTGAATCGCACTCCTTTTCCTTACGTTTCCTTTTGAATTGTACTGAATGCAACCACGGAATGCACTTATTTTTCTCTTAAATTCAAGTAACATAATGTTAGTATATACAAAATTAAATTTTTTAAGCAATACTTTAAAACATTCTAAATAAAGCGATTTTCAAATATATATTTTCTTTTTTCCTCTAAGTCAAGAGGATCAAGATAAATATAACACTCTAGTTATGTTTGCTTTCGCATACGAAAGAACGAGTATATACAGAAAACAGAGATAACCAAATAATAAATACACAAATTAAAAAAGAAATTAAGTATCACCTTTCTCTTCAAATTCCGGAGAAATACGAAAAAAAGTAGAGATTATACGGAATGCAGTATAGTTATTGAAAGTTGCTATAAAATAACATTAAAATAAAAAAAGACAACATTAATATCAACTAAAAATAAAATGAAAATAATCAACACAGCACAACACGTTTTCAATAAGCACGACACAAATAATTTTAGTCTTTATATTAACTATAACATCACTTCTATATTAAACATAAAAACTTTATATATAAGAGAATAAATAAAACAACCTAGCCAAATAACAATTACGTCAATTCAAAGAATTAAATTACATAACTCGATTAAAAATGATAAATAATTAAATTTTTTATTTATTAAGATATGATTAAACCTAAAAAGTTTCAATTTGAGTTGTTGACTTGTTTATGACAATTTCAAGCCATTGAGGCGTGATTCTAAGAATTTTTGTGTTTGAGAAAAAAGAGGTGACGGTGAAGAAAGGAGGGAAGGGTGGTGGGACTGGATTTGGCGGTGGTCGGTCAAAACCGCCGGTCACAGTCTGGCTGTCACTTGTCAATAGTGGCTGTCGGCACTGTTTCGGTCACAGCACGTGTTCCTCTCCTCGTCTCAAAAACATGGCTTCACTCATTCAACTCAACCCTTCTTCTTCATCATCCTCCTCAGCTCTCTGTACCTGTCTGCTACTATACACACCTGTGGGCCCACTTTATATTTTTATATTTATTTGGGTTTTTATTTCTCGGCCACCTTTCGATGTAGCACGCTCCTACCAAAAACAAAGGCCACTTTTAGAAGGCCCAAAGAAATATCGCTCTCAATTTTATACATGGTCCCCTCATCAGTTGTTCAATTTGTGCGGCTGTGATGCAGAACATGCAAGTCGACGAGAAAGAAAGTGGACCTAATGGGCCCCCTCAAATACCACAGCACCTTGTTCTGGACTTCTTCCTCTTCTTGGGCCTAATCTCATTCTTAAAAATTCAAACTTTATTATTATTTTTTCTTCAAATGGTAAGGGAGGGTGTTGACGGTGGAACCAAACATTGCATAATTGTGAAAAGTCAGTTTTATGAAAAATAACAATAATTGCATAATAATAAGAATAATCTGTATATATCATAAGTTTATGGCTAAAGATAATTGCATGATAAGAAAATATGAGAATGTCAACTTCGACACAATCTATCCTCTCAAGATATCAAATACCCTACACTGCCGACGAACAAAACAAAAAAGAGGTGTGCATGCCAGCCAACTCAAATTTTGACTTCTCAACAATGTACTGGCAAATTTCATCACCGATATTATAGGATTAAGAGTGTACACATTTTGTATAATATGTGTAATGTTCCACAGTGGGAAACAATAGATAAATTAAATATTGCGAATGAGTTTTCATCAAATTCGTTTTCCAACAAAAATGCATGGAATAGTTGTTATTAATTTACTTATATTTATGTCAGTTTATATATTGTAAATTGATTTATTTTTAGTTGGTACATATCTTTCAGAGACAATGAGAGCGTGAGAATCGAGGAAACTTATAATTGGTGACACGATTCAAATATTGACTATGATATATTCTTAACGATTTTATTCTATAATAATTTAGTGAAAATGATGTTGATTTTTTATATTTAAAATAAAGAACATATGTAATGATGATCTTTTTGTTAAAAAGGTTTCGTGGACATCTCTTTAACTTATTATAGCTTTCCTGAACTGGCTAATATAAACATTCAATCATTTTCATTACATTTTTTCCTAATTTAAATCAAGCAAGTTGCAAATAATGCAACTTTACATCACAATCACTATCACTAAAATACTTTTTGATATTTGTTATTTTTAATTTTTTAAACTAGCCAAAACTCCGGCATTGTATCTGATAACAATGAATTAATGTTAGAGATAGAAAGCTTACGTTGAAGAACATCAGTCACATTAAAATCCAATATTCGCTAATGATGGATGACACAAGACATCGACATTTAAATAGGATCATTTCAAATTAAAATTAATATTTAGTCAATATCCACTTTTATTCATAACTTACTACCTTTTTTTGCAAGAAATAAAATAAAAATTTCCAGCAATTTTTGTGGGGATAGAGTGTGTATAGTGGAATGAACAAACAAACAGAACATTATTTTTTGAATAAGTACAGATAAAATAATAACTTTAAATATATCATTTAAGTATTTAGGTTTCCTTAAAAACGGTTCATTAAACGACGAATCCTTTTCCATGTTGTCTAGTTAAAATCTGGAGTGACAGGGGCGTGTTTTGCATCCACAATTGCTTGCATCTTTATCTTCTTTTTAGAAGTTATGCTTTCGGTATCTTATACGCTTTTTCCGTATACGCAATTTTATATGACGACAAAAGCTTTTTCCAATATACACACTCCATGCCAATTTACATCAATCAAAACCATCTCTCCTGAGGTAGCAAAATATTATGAACAAGGACCACGTCAAAGGTTTTAAATATGCATGTGATCATTTTTCCCCTTTTGAGAAATCGTGTCATTCCATAAAAAGAAGGGTAATAATGTTTATACTCGTAATCAGATGCACCATCAAATGCACAAGCTTAATTATATGATCCGAAAAAGATTGTATTTTTAACAACATATATAGCTTGGAACTACTGAAATGTTACAAGAAAGAGACAAAAAAGGTGGGGATTTTGGAGCACCAATTGAAATGTGCCGACTGATAGTAGGACACGCTGTCTGTGAAGTTGAGTGTTGACGTTGGGAAAGACAAGGACCACGTAAATATTTCATGCACGTGTATGATTTTTCTTCCCTTTTTCTCTTCTCATCTTATTCACATTCAAATCATGTTTGTTTTTCATCTATGAATCAATAATCAATTAAACTACCTTTGTGACTGCATCTTTCATACGGTGTTGGTAGTAACTTACTACTATATACACACATCACCTGAACATTTTTGTTAAGTAATTAAAAAACTTATTAAGTTACCGATCAAAAACTAATTTTGAATTTATTTTAAGTTAAATGACTATCCATTTAAGTATTTTGGTGGAACAGTTTTTATTTTATTAGCCTGCATAAAGAGAAATATTAATTATGATAAGAAACAAGGCAAGTAGTGTAGAGGGAGATAGAGAGGTGGGCTCATGTATGTTTTTGGACTCATTGCTATGCACAAAAAGGAAACAAATAAAAACAAATACACTGGGGAAATTGCTTCCTGCACCCTATCAATACTTAAATACCCTTCACCATTGTATAAAATGATATTTTTAAAAATTGATGGGGTGCAAGAAGCAGTTGCCAACTAGACCATTGAGTTTCGTAACGTGTTCTAACCATTAATAAACTATTACCTTGTTGAAGTTCCAAAATGTCTTTATAACTATATATTAACAACTTTCTTTTAATATTTTTTTACAATAAACTATGTGTCATGTTTTATTGATTTATATATTTGAAACGAAGGGGATTGTAAAAAGGTTAGAGTTGTTAAAAATAACTTTTTCCAAAAAAAAATATGAACACAATTAACATCAGTGCTCCTCCCTCCCCTCCCTACCTAAGGATCTTCGGGAGCAGCAATCACTAACTTCCTTTCGGATGTAACAAAATTGTTTTAAGTATTTGGGAGATATGCACAGAAGAGTTAACTTTGAAGCAGTGTTTCTTCCTTTGTTTATGTTTTAAACGAGTGATTCTTCCCTTTAAATTCTAAATAAGAATAGCTGAAGGAAGCATATTATATGTCTTTTAAGTTTTATCTACAGAGGAAGATGCCTTGTAAGTCAAGCAACACTAACAAACCCAATCTTCACACAAACTCACTCTTACACACACTCAACGACCGCAATTTTCCATTCATTATCTGCGCTAACTAAACAAACCAGAGCAATGCTAATCGGCAAGAGTTGTTGTGTTGTCAAACACCATGCACGACCACGTTGTTGTCGAGTTCGACGACCTTCCTCCTTCCGCTTTCTCCGACGCAGCTCCCCACTTATCAGAACCGGAGCTCCGGGAAACGGCATACGAGATCCTCGTCGGAGCCTGCCGGAGTTCGGGGCCGAAGCCGTTAACGTTCGTCTCGCACTCTGACTCTAACAGAGGAGATAAACGGAATCCTTCGCCGTCCTTGTACAGGTCGCTGACTGTGAAGGCGTCGAGCGAGGTGAAGAAGAAGCTGGGACTGAAAACGACGACGTCGTGGAGGAATAGAAGGGCGGCGACGACGGGGGAGTTGATGAGAGTGCAAATGAGAGTGACGGAAGTCACTGACACTCGGGTCAGACGTGCCCTTCTCAGAGTAGCTGCTGGCCAGGTCTCTTTCTGCTCCAAACTTTTATTTTTCTATCAAATAAACCCTTGAGAATTTATTTAATGGTAGCAAGCTTACTTGGTGTTTGTTCTTGAAATAGCTCGGAAGACGAATAGAATCGATGGTTCTGCCCCTTGAGCTAATGCAACAGCTCAAGTGTCAAGATTTTGCTAGTGAACAAGAGTACGAGACTTGGCTAAGGAGGAATTTGAAGGTTCTTGAAGCAGGACTTCTCTTGCATCCTCGCTTGCCGTTAGATAAGCCAGATATTAGCGCACTGAGCCTGCAGCAAATAATCCATGGGGGCCTTGAGAAGCCCATGGATATTGGAAAAGACAATGAATCAATGCACGCACTTCGCAAAGTTGTTATGTCTCTTGCTTGTAGATCATCTGATGGGTCTGTTACCGATACATGCCATTGGGTTGATGGGTTTCCGCTAAACTTTAGGATCTACCAAACTCTGTTAGAAGCATGTTTTGATAATCATGAAGAAACCAGTGTGATAGAAGAGGTTGACGAGGTCTTGGAGCTCATCAAGACAACCCGGGTTATTCTTGGAATGAATGAGATGCTGCATAATGTCTGTTTTTCTTGGACCTTGTTTCAACGTTATGTTGCCACTGGTCAAGTGGAAAATGATCTGCTTTTAGCATCGAGTAATCTGCTGGCAGAAGCTGAGAAAGATGCCAAGGCGATGATGGATCCATTTTACTCAAAATCCCTGAGCTACGCATTGAATTTGATGTTAAGTTGGGCAGAAGAAAGGCTCCTTGCTTACCATGATACTTTCCATGATGGTAATATTGAGTCAATGCAAAGTGTTGTTTCTCTTGCTGTATCGTCAGCAAAGATATTGGCAGGAGATATCTCTCTTGAGTGTAGCAGGATGAAGAAAGAGGATGATATATCCTGCACCAGAGTTGAAAATTACATCACATCGTCATTGCATGCTGTTTTTATTAAGGCAGGTTCAACCCTTCAAACTTCCCTCCCTAAGCACAAACACTCGTTATGTTAAGTTTAACTCTAAAGTAATTATTATAAAATTCAATAAATTTAATATATATGACTGATTAAACCTGGGAAGTCATATACTCTGTTGATTTATTAATGATTTAATGTTGAATGCTTATGCAATTTTTAAACCTAGTTTTGTTTGAAGCAGAAACTGGATCCACGGAACAGCAAGAATGCAGCTAGAGAAGAGGATAAAGTGTTTACACGTCTCTCAGTTCTTGCACGAGAAGTCAGCGAAGTGGCTTTTGGCGAGAAAGCAATGTTTAGTCCAATACTGAAGAGATGGCATCCAGTTGCTGCCGGTGTTGCTGTTGCTACCCTTCATGTATGTTATGGTCATGAGTTGAAGCAATATGTGAAGAGTGTTACGGAGTTGACTCCTGATACTGTACAAACGCTGATGGCTGCTGATAAATTGGAGAAAGATCTGGTACATATAACAGTGGAAGATTTAGTTGACAGTGACGATGGTGGGAAATCCGTTATAAGGGAGATGTGTCCTTTTGAGGCTGAAGCTGTAATTATCAACCTGGTCAAGTCATGGATCAAGAACAGAGTGGTTACACTGGAAGAATGTCTTGACAGAAATCTACAAGAAGAGGTTTGTTGCTCGCAATCTAATCAATCAATCTACAAGAAGAGAATTTTTTTTCAAAATCGCCTTCCTCAATTTATTCTTTTTGCTGTAGGTGTGGATTCCTGGTGCAAATAAAGAATGCTTTGCTCCTTCCGCTCTTGAAATTCTAGGAATCATAGATGACTCCCTGGAAGCGTTCTTTGTGTTGCCAATAATACCCATGTATGCAGTTTTGCTTCCTGAATTCATGTTTGCTCTTGACAAATCTCTCCAACAATACATTTTGAAGGCGAAAGCTGGCTGTGGTATATATTTACTGCATACCATTTAATAATCGTATACCAAACAGTTTCTCACCAATCCTCTTCATGACCAGCCTTTCATTTCATATCATCATCTGCAGGAAACCGTAATACCTTCATCCCAATCATGCCAGCTTTGACTCGGTGTTCGCCAGGATCAAAATTTCACGGTGTATTCAGAAAAAAAGAAAAGTCACAAGTAACTCAGAGAAGGATATTCCATGTTGGAACAACAAACATGGAAAACTCGTTCGGATTACCCCAGTTTTGTGTTCGCATAAATACCATGCAGCGCATTGGCATGGGACTAAAGGCTTTAGAAAGGAGTACCGTTGCCCGTCTTGGGAATTCTAAATCCACAAGAGAGGATGGTATGGAGAAGAGGTTGAAGTTCAAGCTTTCTAAAGCTGCTTCTGTGGAAGGTATCCGTCAACTCTCCGAGGCCATGGCGTACAAAGTGATTTTCCAGGATCTCCGCCATGTTCTTTGGGATGGCCTATATGTTGGTGAAGTTTCATCCACTAGAATTGAGCCTTTTCTTGAGGAGCTTAACCAATGCCTGAAGATAATATTATCCACTGTGCATGAGAGAGTAATAACGCATATAATAACTGATGTAATGAAGGCTTCTTTTGATGGGTTCTTGTTGGTTTTGTTAGCTGGGGGTCCAGCACGAGCTTTCTCTCTTGAAGACCATGTTATAATTGATGAGGACTTTAAGCTTCTCAATGATTTATTCTGGTCCAATGGAAAGGGTTTACCAGCTGATTTGATAGAAAAGCATTCTACAAATGTTAAAGAAGTGCTTCCCCTCTTTCGCAAGGATACTGAGGACTTGACTAAGATATTCAGTCAGCTTATTAAGGAAATGTATAATTCTTCAACGAAATTTCACTTGCCATTGCCCACGACATCTGGTCAATGGAGTCCAAGGGAACCAAACACTCTTCTGCGAGTTTTGTGTCATAGAAAGGATGAAACTGCTGCCAAGTTCCTTAAAAAGAACTACAACTTGCCTAAGAAGTCTAAGCGTTAATTATACAACAAGGTACAACGTATAGTATTCTAAATCAACGAATAACCTCGTGGAAAAACTAATTTGTTCAGATGCTGCTGCTGCTATTGTGCCAGGATGCTTTTTTAGTGACAACCTAGATGATCCAAAATTAGTAATTGTAAATTGTAATTAGTAATTGTTTGCTTTGGTATTTTTCTCTGCTAAAAAACCATTTGAAATTTTCTTTCCAATCCAGATGACTTGAGGTTCATCACCTAGATGAAATTTCTTCATTCAAAAATTAACATCACGGCAATTATAGAGAACAGAGGGGAAGGAGATAAGTAGTATAATGAGGGATAAAAGATAAAAAATAATAATACTAGTATAATGTAATAAAAAATAAAAGATAACTGATAAAACTGAATCTATGCTACGGAAAGAATAAATTTTCTTATAAAGCATATAAAAACTCCTAAATCAACACTTAATTCAAAAGTAATACAGTTACACATTTGTTTGTTCACGCTGTATAACATTTGTAAGTGCTTCCTAAAGAAAATACAAAACTTTTTTCATAGGTTGTACAGCCTATAGATGATCACTCTGAAGTGGGAATTACCACGATGCTCACATCTTCGTTATTTATGGGGCTTCCTTTTTGCAAGGTAAACATCATCCTAAAATTATTTAATAGCGTTGTTCGCAGACAACTCAATACAGTTTAAAAATGATAGCATGGAATGTTTGTAAGACAACGTGGTAAAACTATAACCAATGAAACAGCAAGTACATGATTTATTCATTTCTTTGTTATGGATAAGGACTTGGTTCTGCCTGCATTGGGTTAACCCATCAATATTGTTGTCCTGCATTAAGGTTAGACCGTCCATTCTGGATGGGCAGAACTTTTGACAGTCATTTATAATATCCATTACTTGGAAAAAAAATAATCCAGCTGAAGAACAACATCGGAGAGGAAAAGAGTTTTGAAGAATGACCATTAATATTAACTTGTTATGGAGAAGAAATCAGTAAAACAAATTTCAATGAATCTCTGGACGATCATTAATCTACACCTCTGCATACCACAAGCTGTGGCAGGAAATATAATAAACAACACCAATAATGCGTTACAATGCTTCTCAAAAATTGGTCGTAAAATAAATATAAATAAAAAAAAATGTGGTCTGCAAAACAAGTAACTTATAACAAGCATATTCATCCGACAGGTAACAAATGTTCAGGCCACAATATTGTCCAATGGTTGGTAAGCATGTTCTCTTCATTAGGTGGATGGAGCTAAATCATCAATCTTTCAAAGCGGAACCTGCATACATTACAGAAATGATCAAAGTGCAACCTATAACGCAACTATTAAGAATGACAGCATACAAACTATACAGAACTTACAAATGGATCTGCAAGGACAAAGCTTCAAAGCTACTGATTTCAAAGAGGCTGAAGCCAAGAAACTTCTAAGAAAATACATATGAATCAATTTGTTCGATGTTGGGGAATGTTTCCCTGAGGAATGCAGTATAGTTGGGTGATTTAGCCTGAAAGAAACAAGCAGGATTAGTTCCTAAATAAGTAAATCATATACCGAGAAGTCCTAAAGAAGAAAGATCAGACAAGGAATAACATGGAATCTGTCACTGAAGGATAAATATAAATGTCAAATTAAGCTTCCTCCCAGAAACCCAGTGCTTGGAAAATAACAAACAAACAGGGTCGAAAGGCTCAATGGTGAAAATATATAGCAGTACAACTTATAAATTATGCTTTTTACAGAGACTTCATTTATATCCAGTCAAAGCCACAAATAGAATAGTGGCAATGGGAGCTTCTAAATGAAACTCAGTAAGATTATTCCCATTTTATAGTCCACAACACAATTCCCTAACAAGATTAATTAAAAAGTAAAACTCATAGTATAATGCATAAAACAACAACATGGGTTATGCTCCAGGTTTCAAGAAGAAAATGAATCAAACACGTTACACTAAAAAGGAACCGTACACATGGGTTATGCTCCAGGTAGATGGTTGTAAGCTTCTCTCTACAACCAACAACAGCCTCAGCAATTCCTTCAAGTGATGCTATTTGGTTGTCGTTAAGCCACAGATCTTCCAATCTGCAATAAATTAAACAAGGCAAGGAAATTACCGACGTAAGTCTTTAAAAAGTTATTTGTGCGGAGGGAAAAAGATGGACCAACGGAGAACCAGACATACTGCGTCAGGTTCGTAATGTCATCCACTGATGTTAACTTATTTGACGATACATCTAAAACCCGGAGATTGACTAATGTCGACAACCCTTCCATTTTTGAAATACCATTATGGCTCAAGTATAGTTCTTCTAGAGCTATGCAGCCCTGCATCCCAGAATGAAGGTTAGCAACTATAAAGTTCTAAATTAATAATAAAGAGTTTAGTGGTTATTCACAGATGTAAAACAGTTTTACACTTAGATCAAAATCACAAATTACCAATTGAATGACATTTAAGATTATTATAAAAATCAACAAACTTACCAACATGGTGGTTTTGTGATTGTTTGAAAGTGCAAAACCATTTTAAATAATCAATGCATAGTTTTTTTACCCTAAAAAAGGGGTGCGTTTGTGGTGGGGGCGTTAACCTACTATTCACATAGTCCTTCTATTTATCTTCATCTTATGTTTTAATTCCTACACGAGAAAAAGGTTTAGTTCCTACAAATGCACAAAGTTAATTCTGCTGGTGTTATATAGTCACAAAAAAACATATAAGAACTAAAACTTAATAATTTTTTTGTATGGAGACTAAAACTTAAAATCAGAACTACAGAGAACAAATGAATAGTTTACCCTGAAAGAATAAATTTGTGGAATCAAATTGAGGGCAACCCCATCGGTAGAGAGCATACCTCAAAACCCGTCATTGAAGTGAGACGATTGCTTTGCAAACTAATTTTCTTAATACAATTGAGACCACACAGATTTACAACTTTAATTCGATTCCGACCGAGCCACAGCTGCTGCAAATTCGTAAGGCTCTGCAAATTCTCCATTACCTGAATCACAAACAAAAAAAAATCAAAAACCCCATTGGAACAAACAAAGCACAGACCCGGTAACTTAACACCGTTAACCTCAACACACCCGCAATTTATTGGAGCCGAGTTCAAGAATCTGCAGCTGATGGAAGTGGTCGATCTCCTCGATCTTCAAAACTTGATTCATGGACACGTAGAGTTCCTTGAGCGTATCGGAGACCTTGGCACAGCCGTGTAGCGAACTAATCTCGTTGAACGAAACATCGAATACCAGAAGCTTCTGGAATATGCTGACGTCAGGAATGTTCCTCAATTGATTATCCCGCAGCACAAGCTCCTGCATGTAGAAAAAAAGAGATTAAAACAAACGCGTATGAGAAAATGTTATTCATCCATCCAAACAGAGGCTTAAGCGACAACATACCTCGAGCGACGCGAGGGCGCTCCAGGAAGAGAGAGGGAGAACGGCGTTGTCGGTGACGAGGTTCTGGCGCAGTGAGAGCTTCTTAAGATGGGAGAGGTTGGCTATGCGCGGGTCCAGCGTGGACAAGCGATTCGCGGTGAGGTCCAACTCGGTGAGAGTGGGAGGCAACTCGACCGAGTCAAGGTCGTGGAGCTGGTAACTGCTGAGATCCAAAATCGTTGATGAAGGATCGTCTTCGTCGTGATCCGGAACCGCTATTGATTCTACCGACTCCTCCATCTTCCAATTAAAGAAGATTCCAATTTCACTTTCTGCTTCAACCGAAAGAACACATTGCCTTGCCCTGCCCTGCAAAATGCAACTCAAACTGTTTAATATTTTTTTATACCTGTCGGGCCATCTGGGCTGGGCCTGGAATGAGGCCTGCTATTTTTTTAGGGCCTTGCCCTACATTCTTTATAATTGCATACTACCTAAAATGCCCTTAGCCTTGGTTTTTGAAAACCTCGCTCAATGTAAACGAAAGAAAAGGCTTGTTTTTTCGGCGCACATGCCTTGCCATGCATATAGCATGTAGCAGCGCAAGGACACTATTATGTCTATGCGCAAGTTCTTCCAACTCGCGTTCCCCCTTCGTCGTCGTCGTTGTTTCTCTACCCAAAACTCTGCGTTTCGATCTCTTCTGGATTATTCAGGAAGCGACCTTGTAGCGTTGGTAGCTACTTATTCGTGTAATTGTTCTACTGTACAGGAACTGAATCGATTGTATGCCCACGTTCTAAGGACGCAGTTTTTTAACTCCAATCCGGCGCCATTTAATTGGAACAATATTATAAGATCATACACCAGGCTAGAGGCTCCACGTAATGCACTTCGCATCTATGTTTTAATGTTGGGGAATGGGGTTTTGCCCGATTGTTATACCCTTCCCATTGTTCTGAAGGCAGTCTCCCAAACTTTTGATGTTAAGCTCGGGAAACAGGTTCACTCAGTTGGTATCAAGATTGGACTGCAATGTAACGAGTTCTGTGAAACTGGATTTTTAAGTTTGTATTTTAAAGCTGGCGAGTTTGGAAGTGCCCGAATGGTATTTGATGAAAATCCTGACCCGAAGCTTGGTTCTTGGAATGCTGTAATAGGTGGGCTTTCCCAAGCTGGTCTTGTCCGGGATGCGATCGGCGTATTCCTTGATATGAAGAGGCGGGGATTTGCGCCGGATGGGTTGACCATGATTAGTGTGACTTCCGCTTGTGGGAAGATTGGAGACCTCAACCTGGCCCTCCAGGTGCATAAATGTGTTTTCCAGGCTGAAGCTGGTGAGAGGACTGATGTTTTGATGTTGAATTCGCTGATTGATATGTATGGGAAGTGTGGGCGGCTGGACCTGGCTTACAAGGTTTTTGCAACTATGGAGGAACGAAATGTGTCGTCGTGGACGTCCATGATCGTGGTGTATGGGATGCATGGATATGTGAGGGAAGCACTGGAATGCTTCTGTCATATGAGGGAGGCTGGGGTTAGGCCAAATTATGTGACTTTTATTGGAGTTCTTAGTGCCTGTGTGCATGGTGGGGCAGTTCGAGAAGGGAGATTTTATTTTGATATGATGAAGAATGTTTATGGCATGGCACCCCAATTACAGCATTATGGATGCATGGTGGACCTTCTGGGTCGAGCTGGATTGCTTGAGGATGCCAGAAGAATGGTGGAGCAGATGCCTATGAAGCCAAACTCGGTAGTGTGGGGGTGTTTGATGGGTGCGTGTGAAAAATATGGGAATGTGGACATGGCGGAGTGGGTAGCTAAGCATTTGCAAGAACTGGAACCTTGGAGTGATGGGGTTTACGTGGTGTTGTCTAATATCTA